TTAGGGTATACAATCAACAACATATACTAACTTAATATTGTTGATTGAGGGTAAAGCTAAGTGTATATGATATATGCTATTGAGTAAGTTATGATTGAAGTCACAATAATTTTACTAAATTTGATAGCTAATCTTTAATGGTTCAATTTTTAGGATAATTCGAACAATTTTACAAATAACTCGTTTGGCAACAGTTTACTAAAGTTATTTGGGCAATGAGTTATTTTGAAATAACTCTTTTTATCACTATGCTTTTGCCAAATACCACACGCCAAATACCAGATTTGCATGGTTATACTAAACGAGATACTTTAATCCAATTACTACTGAATTAATACTAAAATATCAAATAAACAATTAACGGTGTTTTTTGGTTGCAAATATTGATATCACTATTACTATTAGCTATAATACTTTACCAATTATGATTAATTACATAACAAGTTTGCAAGTCATATAAATTGATTTAACATTTTGACTAGTTTTTTTCAAAAAAATAAAGTATATATATACGAGGTAGAAATAAATTGGTTAAAAAGTTGAGAAAATATTTTAAATTAGTGTAATAAAATGTGTAAGTTGGTAATGAGTAATGAGTTAAGTTACTTGAAGTGCTGGCCCGAACAACCCGAAACCCGACCCGCCCGCAACCCGCCCGACCCAAAACCCGGTGAACCCGCAACCCGATTTGCCCGCAACCCGATTGAAGCCGAACCCGATGAACCCGCAACCCGACTAACCCGCAACTCGTTTGAACCCGAACCCGATTGAACCCAGCCCGAACCCGCCCGAAACCCCGATTGACACCCATACCTGCAATATTATTGTCTTAATACCTTAACATCAAAAAGTCTAAAAAGTGATTCAGAATAGAGATGGCAATGGGTCGGGTTGGGGCGGGTTTTGTCAAACCCAAACCCATGGGTTTATCCGCCAAAAAAACCCGGGGTAAAATCCGTTGGGTTTGAAAAACTCAAACCCAACCCAACACGCTGGGTATCCGCGGGTTCATGGGTACCCGTGGGTTTTTGTGGTAAAAATTTACAATAACAAGTTTCTTTCGAAATAAAAGTTTAACATTAATTTTCTCATACAAATTAATCATACAAAAAACACCAATCTAGAGCATACAAGCAAACCGCAAATGATCAATACAAATTGTTCAAAATTAAAGATAAACATATATAAACAATAAGATTAATTGAAAACTTCTTCCTCGTCAACTAAGTTTCTTCACTCTCCACTTCATAATATCAACTTCATTCTAAACAATTAGAAAGAACAAATTATACATGTCTCCACAAACATATAGAATATTAGTTATTTAAGGAAGATATATTATTTAGATTATTAAATATACCGGGAAAGTAATTATATGTGTGTGGGCGGGTACCCATGGGACGGGTTTACCTAAACCCAAACCCAACCCGGTGAATAGTGTAGCGGGTTTAAACCCGAACCCGACCCAAAACCCATCAATACGGGTTTTACCCGCGTTGACCGGGTTGGATCGGGTGGGTACCCGTGGGTTCGGGTTTTGTTGCCATTCCTAATTCAGAAGCTAGTAGATTCTAATGCTTTTACTAACATTGTCGGCTTTTCCTTAGACTCATGGTGCAAAAAAAACTTTTTGAACAAAAGTAATCATATATGTGGGGTCCAAACATAATAAGTTAATAACTACAATTGTGAATTGACTATGCATTGATCATCATAACAGTGTGAAACTTATTACTTCATCCGTTACCATGTGCTCTTTCAGCTTCCTCCTCCTCCTTCTTCATTATCGGAGTCAGATAATAAAGCACGAAATCTGCATGCCCTCATGCATGAATTTGCTTTCTTCTCCTTCCTGCTATGATGCTTTCTTTGTAGCTTAGAAATTTCCCTGCATGCCCGCATGCACGCGTTAGATTAGATCACACGTATAACTAATTAACACCAACAGCAGCACCAGTAATAGAGAATTAAGGCTTAGGATAGGGTTAGTAACCATGGGTTAGGATAGGGTCAGTAATATGAGTAACTAAATCTGAACCTTTAGATTTAAGTGGGTCCAGAAAATTCAGATCTAAGAGTTGTCAATTAAAGACATTTTATTTTCCCAAGTTTTCTTAATTGGCTCTTATCTTCTTCGTTCTAACTCGGATTTCAATTTAGTTTTCAAAGATGGAACGAGTTTGTTGTGTTCTACAAAATGAGATCAATTTTCAATATATTTCGAGAAACTTTTTTTTTACCAACTACATACCATATAGTAACTTCTTCGTTTTTAAGTCGTTTGCTTAGAAGGAACGAGTTCATCATGATCTATTGGATCTATAAATTTATGGGTGAAAAAAATACTGGATAAAAAATTACCATACTTTACCACTATGGTATGTGATTGGTAACTTGTAGTAAACAATGATGAAAGTCGTAAATGACAAATAATATACTCCTACTATCATCTCATGTATTCAACATTCTTACCATATTGGTATGTTCATACCATCATGGTACGCTTTCTTACCATATGATATTAAATTGGAGCATACCATATGGTAATGACTAGTAAAAAATTATTCAATTTTTTCTTGTACTAAAAATATATCAAAGTGGATATCATTTTGAAGAGCATATTTACTGATTTATCTGTGCAAAAAAAAAAAAAACGACTTTCCATGATTATTGATGTCATGCTGATGTGGATAGGTTACTCATGGTTACTGATCATAGAGTTTCTGACCTGATCCGCTCCAGAGAATTAAGGCATAGGGAGGAACCAAAAAGCGAAGTTACTCTTTAGGTAACTACTACAGTAAGCGACCATGGAAGAGAACGAGCTATCTCTCTCTGGATTGCCCTAATCGCCGCTATCTCCATCGTAGCCTTCCTCTGTATCCCCAATTGCTTCCTTATGTCCAACCATCTCAGCCGGCGTAGATAATATTGGGCCAACGGCGGATCTCTAGGAGTCATCGCCGACAAAGACAATGGGAGTTAAAGAGGATAAACGCATCCACACTTTAAACTCTATGAACTCAGCGTGAAAGAGGAATAAAGGATGACACCTCAAAGATAGCAAGGTTGTTAAACCCCTATCGAACCCCCCGATTGGACCCGGTTCAACCCGAGTCGGGCTTCAAAACGGCCTCCAGAAAACCCCCGGTCTGACCCCTAAACAGAGAGAAGAAGAGAGGCAGAAGAGAGGAAAAGGAATGAAGGAAGGGAAATGGAAGGTGGATCATGGAGGTTAGGTAGATTTATTTTGTTGAAAATAAGTTTTTAATAGATATATGTAAGATAAATTTTATTTCACTCATTAAATTTTTAATTACTACTTTATTTGTATATATATTTAGAAAACGTCTAAAACGGCTCAAACCGGCCGGACCCCGATCAGACCATTAAACCTCAAACCCCTTGCTTGACCGGCTCAATGACTTAAATCGGTTTGACAACCTTGAAAGATAGAGTCGAGCAGCAGAGATTTTTTAATTACATTTTTAAGAAAATATTTATTTGATTTAAAATATGACGTGGCATACATGTGGACATGGTGTGTCTAGTTGGAGATGACTGAAACCTAAAATTAGGTTCTATCGGGTTTTAGGGATTTGGGCAAGAATCGAATCACCAAGGTGGTGATTACGTTGCTTAGGGAAAATGAGGTGGGGAAAATGGAATTGGAAATTGATGGGGGAAGGGAGAAGAAGGCTGCCACAGCACCAGTAGAGAGGGGAAGGGGTTTGGGGTAGAGAGAGAGAGAGAGGAAGGGAGAGGGATTAGAGAGTGCTTAGGGTTTTAATCTTGCTTAGTGGTTAATTCTCACATACAAGTAGTTTATATATAAAAAAAGGATAATTCTCTATTGCTGCCCGAATTATTAAATAACCCCCAATTTGCCCCAATAATTCTCAAAGGACAACAAACCGACAAAAGTAATCCGAATAAACAAACTATGAAAATGCGGGTTTCTATCATCCCCGCCTCCTTGGCAACAACCTTGACCTCAAGGTTGACTTGAGCTCACTGCTTCTCTCCCAAGGCCTCCATCGCCTCATCCTCTGCTTCATCCCCCCATCGTCCCACCAGCATCATCACATCTGGCACCGCACTCTGGTGACCGAAGGTGAACCGCTCATTGTAGTTGAAGCACTTGCCCTCCCGGCGCTTCTGTTCAATCTTAGCGGGTGTCAGCCTGACGAAGCCCTTCAGTGGAGGGCGAGGACAAGGTCTTGGCCCTGTCGCCGCCGGTGGTGGTGGATTCCCTCCTGCAGCTCCGCTTCCCGCTCGCGCGACAGCGCTACCTCCCCCACTGCTCGCGGCGCTGTTGCTTCCCCCTCCGCTCGGCCTCTGGTAACGGCCGATGACGCTTCTCCAGCTAGCAAGTTCTTCCTCCTTGTGACCTGCATAATGGAAAGCAGTTCTTACCTAGTCGGGTTCAAACACCCGGACAGCTCCCGCGATCTCCGGCTTTAGGCCAGCCAGACATATGCTCGCTAGTGTTTCTTCCGGAACCCCTTTGCACAGATTCCCCAGCTTGAGAAATTCCGACCGATACTCCGCCACTGTTCCGGTCTGCCTCAACTTAGCTAGCTGCTCGGGAGCCCATCCCTCTGATTTGGCGAACTGATAACGAAGTTCCTCCTGGAACATCGGCCACTTGATCAGAGTTCCCGTAGCAGCGTACGACCTCTCCAACCATTCCCACCAGTGCAGCGCGTCACCTTCCAGGTAGAAGGATGCCAGGTGCGCCTCCCGTTCTTCCCGAGTTGGGTGGTTCTTAAACCACCTATCAGCTACATACAACCACAACTCTGCATTCTCTTACCCATTGAATTTCGGAAATTCAATGGTTGGAGGCTTAGCTTTGAAAACTAAGTCATCATCCACCTCATTAAAGCGGTCATACCCAGCATACCTTCCACTGTGCGGATTTCTCGACCCTCGGTTCATGTACTCGGCTCCCTCCTCGCCTCGGGGTTACCCAGTATACCAGCTCCTCGAGTCCGGGGTTACTCGTCCCGGTCCGTACGGCCCCACGCGCGACGGTGGGAAGCCTCCTGCCTCGCTACTCGATCCGTGACCGCCCATAGGAAACCCCTGATTCTGCCCGTCCTGTTGCTGATTGCCCCGAGCTGATTCAATTCCGGTTCGACCCGGTTGGATCCAACTAGCCGGACTGGTTCTAGTCCACCCGGTTCGATCGGCCTGATGCGACCCAAACCCACCATGTTCAGTCGCCCACCTCTGGTCCAACCCGGCTGCCCTCTGGTTAGGTTCGGCCTCCTTCTCTGGTCGGCCTGCCAGACGAAGCTCATCTTCTTATTGGGTTGGTTCTGGGCCCACCCATCCTAGCCTGTTAGGCACCCAGGCCCGCTCCCCTCTTCTTCATGGTTCAGTGGGCCCACATTGTCATAGCCCAGAATTTTGCCTTGCTCCGTCGGGCCGCCATCTCTTGGGCCGTCGGGGTCGGAAGCAGGCCCGCCTCACTGTTGGGCCTAAAGTGAACTTGGCCCGCACGCCCTGTCTCTAGCCCTGCCCCGATGGCCGAGGCGGCCGACCCGCCTGCTCCTGCGACCACAATTGCCGCCGTGGCCCCTTTCGCGTCTCCGGCCGCCGCCTCTCCCGTCACCGCCCCTTCGATCGGGACTTCCCCACCCTCATGCCCGAGGTCTACCGGGTCTCGATCCTCGACGGATTGCCTTGTCTCACCTTTGCGTCCCGCGTCAGTTTGCTTAGAACTCGCCGAATTTCATCCATCTCTTCGCAACGTCTCTCCTCCACCACCTCTCGATCTACCATCAGTCTCTTCACAGCAACCTGGAGTTCTCCCACTGCAATCTGGAGTTCCTCCAGTCCGGTCTCGTCCACCACCCTGACCGACTCCAGAACTCGAGTCGTCAGGTTCCGTTCCACCGCTGCAACAGCCGCCGCCGGCCCGCCTTCATCGCCGCTGCCTTGCCCCGTCGCCGCGGTGGTCGCGGTCGCCTTTTCCTGGCCGCCTCCTCCGCAGCTTTCTCCGCATCCTTCTGAGATTTTGTCACCGCCATAACGTGACCTTGCTCTTGGTGATTTGCTTAGATCAGAACCGGGCTCTAATACCAGATGATAGAAACCTAAAATTAGGTTCTATCGAGTTTTAGGGATTTGGGCAAGAATCGAATCACCAAGGTGGTGATTACGTTGCTTAGGGAAAATGGGGTGGGGAAAGTGGAATTGGAAATTGATGGGGGAAGGGAGAAGAAGGCTGCCGCAGCAGCAGTAGAGAGGGGAAGGGGTTTAGGGTCGGCCGAGAGAGAGAGGAAGGGAGAGGGATTAGAGAGTGCTTAGGATTTTAATCTTGCTTAGTGGTTAATTCTCACGTACAAGTAGTTTATATAAAAAAAGATAATTCCCTACCGCTACCCGAATTATTAAATAACCCCCAATTTGCCCCAATAATTCTCAAAGGACAACAAACCGACAAAAGTCATCTGAATAAACAAACTATGAAAATGCGGGTTTCTATCAATGATGTGTCATCTAGGTGGCATCCACATCAGCATAATGTTTATGTTATTAACGGAGTCACTGACAGTCGTTAAAGTTTTTAACGGAAATGGCTAAATTTGTCAAACTAGTTTCAAAAGGGCTAAATTACACGTTTGGTCACTCAAATTATACAAATCTTTCACATTTGCCACCCGAATTACTTTTCTTTCTTATTCGCCACTAACTTTACGAATCGTTTCACGGTTGGTCACCGACCGTTACACTCCGTTAAGTTTGTCCTACGTGGCAGTCAACTATAAAGTTTGACCGTTAACTAGATGACGTGGAAATTAACAAAAAATAAAAATAAATAAAATTTTCTTTCCACCTCATCATTGCACTTATTTTGTCTATATAATTTATAATATTAATAATTTAATAAAAGTTAATAAATTACAAAAATGGGCACTTATTTTGTCTTCTGGAGCCATGCCGTCGGAGACCCTAGCCGCCGAAGGTGCCCTCACTCTCCCCTCCTCGAATCCAAAAGATAACCATAAAAATAAAACCAAAACGAGAAGGTCGGAAACGAATTCAAACCAAAAATCGTCAAATAAACGGACATGCAAGCCAAATCATACCTCAATAGACACGACTCCGTTCAATTCGGGGCTCTTAGGTCGCGTTTCGAGGCCGGCGATGAGCCAAAGGAGAAGCTCCGAGGGAGTTTCTTCTGGTATCGGGTCGTTTTTCTGGTGGCGGCTTGAGGAGCGGAGTCGTTTTTACCAGAAAAGAACGAAAGATAGAGAGGCAGGGGAAACCGAGAGCGAGGAGAAAAGGAGGTGCGGCGGTTCTAGCCTAGAAACCAGATGGTTTCTGGTTTTTGGTTCGGCGGAGAAGCAAACGAAAATCGGTATGTCGGCGAAATCAAATCCCTAATAAAGCCGCTGCGGCTACATACCCCGCTTTCCTGGACCTGCTCGTAGAAGTGGCGGTACTTCTCCACTCCCTCTTTGTCTTTAGGCCACAAGACTTTGGGCTCCAAAATCACCTGACTCCACTCCTCCTCTCCGTCTTCCTTGCTTTCGCCGGAATCATCGTCCGCGACCTCGACGTCGGTGCTTTTGTCGCCGGCGGCTTCCTCGATCTTCTGCCTCTTCGGCGCTGATCCAATTTCAGATACGGGAGACGATTCGTCGCTCGCGAGTGGGAGACTCGCATCCGGTTGAGGATCCTAGCCGAAGCTTGAGATCGTGAGATTGGAATCCATGACTGGGAAAGTAGCTCGAGGAAACCCTAGAGAGGGAGGAACACGAACGGAATTGGGAATTCAATTTGTGTTCGCAATTGGGAATTTTTCCTTCGATCCTTTCTCTGCTCCAGAAGACAAAATAAGTGCCCATTTTTGTATTTTATTAAATTATTAATATGATAAATTATATAGACAAAATAAGTGTAATGATGAGGTGGAAAGAAAATTTTTTTTTAATTTTTTTAATTTTCCACGTCATCTATTTAACGGTCAAACTTTATAGTTGACTGCCACGTAGGACAAACTTAACGGAGTGTAACGGTCGGTGACCAACCGTGAAATGATTCGTAAAGTTAGTGGCGAATAAGAAAGAAAAGTAATTCGGGTGGCAAACGTGAAAGATTTGTATAATTTGAGTGACCAAACATGTAATTTAGCCGTTTCAAAAGTATGGTTATTATAGTGTATTTTTCAAAAAGTGGCTATTATTGTCACAAAGTGCAAACTTATGGCTACCCAAGTGTATTTTGCCTAATTTTTATAACTATTCACATTTCACAACAATCTCTCACTTGAATATTATAAAACATTCATCGAGCATCAACAGAAAGGTACTAGATCAAAAATAGGCTATGGTATCTTTCGATTTGAAGTTTAGCGTAGTGGTTATATTTTAGATTTAACTAGAGTGATTTGTAGTATTGAACTTTCTCTATCACAATGTAGCATGTCTTCAAAGTGTAATTCTCTAAAAGTCCATGCATTTATGGTCATGCGTTTCTACACAATTTAGTGAACGCTCTAGAAATTTTTGCCCTCAAAATTTCATAGGAAGCCGTCTCGCTCTCACATTCAATGGGTGAGTCTAATTGAAGTATCTTGTACCTTGGTACTCAACAACGCATCGAGTATAGATCTCATTAAAATTTTATATTACCTCGACCACTTTTGCTATAGAAATTCATGCTTCACTATGCATGATCTATTACCTGTTACACACAGCCCATTGACGACACTTGAAAATTGTTACTTGTCCAACCTCCTAGCTAAATTCCTCTCTGACAATGTATTCTTAGACATTTTACAACAATTTCAATTGAAAAGTTGAGTGAAAAGCCTTTTGCGGCTCAAGCCAAAACTGAGCTCAAGTGAAGGAAGAACCTGGAAACCAGAGTTTAAGCTATGTAGCAGTAGTAGTACTAACACATTCTCGGCCTACTTGACAAAAGGAATGAAAGAAACAAAGCAATAAGAACCCACAGAAACAAAACACAAAGCAGCTAGCTAAGCTTCATACAGTTCTAAAAAGCTAATAAGTTAACAACCGAAATGCTGCTAATTAACAAAAACTAATCAACGATTCCTCGAAACAACAAACAACAGAGATCAGGAGGGAGTAAAACAAACAAATCAAACAACCTCAACTGGCAGCGGCATTGCAGGTGTTAACACCATCTTTGCAGTCATTTGTGAGATCATTGAATGTCTCAATCTGCTTCTTCCCTCTCAAGAACACCTCCGTGTCGACCGAACCCCTCATGTAGCCGTCGAACTCCACCGGAACACCTCGGTAGAGCTTCGTGGTCTCGGAGTACCACTCGCTGTTCTCGTCCCAGAGGTCTTTGTACTCGTCGAGGAAATGAGTTGAGTACTTGTCTTTTAACGGGTCGAAGAAAGAAGTTTCTGGTTCGTTTGTAGCAATGTATACTTGCCTTCCTTCCTCGATTTTATTGCCCAAGGTCGACAGAAGGGCATCAGGGGAAGTGTCTGCATCAAGATTTGGCCATAGGTTTTTGTTCCTCGCTTTCTCGCCCCGTTCGATGTGGACTGAGTCGTAATCCCAGTTCAATTTGGAGGATATTGCTGATACTATGTCCATTAACCTTCTTGATTTCCATAACAAATGCCATGGACGTTGGATGACCGACTCGGTTTCTCCCTCGCAGACTCTGTACCAGTAGTTATCTGGTTCAACCGATCCAAACTTCCTCATGATGACAGAATCTGATACCTCTGCAAGCTTCATAGGTGTGACTTTATGGTCCTCCACGAGATAGAGACCTAACCGATCCTTCTTATGCCACTTCCCCCAGTCCTCCCAAAACTGAGCCTGGTCCAGAACCGATGAAGCTTCGGTTAGGTGCTCGAAATCGAAGTAGAATCTGAAATCTTTCCCTTCCTCATCCTGATTCGAGGAAGTGTAGATGGAATTCAAACAGATGGTTAAATCCATAACGAGAGTTCGATTCAAGTACTGAGCTTCACCCAATGCACACAAGAAGCTCCATAAGTAATGATTCATGTTCTTGCATCTATCACCCCCGCCATTGTAGATCAAGTACTTACCCTGACTGAATGATCTCTCGGATTCAACTACCGGAAGATCATCGTTCACCGTCTCACCCACCACAGGCAACAATGTCGAGTCTTCTTTCGTAGACTTCTTCTCGAACCCGGGTTTCTGATGCTTGTTCTTCCTCTTCCTAGCATTGACACCAGTATGGTAATCCCCAATCCCCGCCACGCTAAAGGTGCAATTCTCAGATCTGGCAATGGTGAATCTCCTGTAATCTTTATAAAACGAAGCCGACTTCCCTTCCTTGGGCCTGAACCTCCACGCCATGTCACAGGTGGTATCATTCGAGCCACGAACGGGTTTCCCAAACCTGTAGAAATGTATATCTTTAAACTGCTCTATTGCCTTCTTCATGAGCAAATGGAAGACCTCTGGATCCCTGCAGTCTACAGGACCATCGCACCGCTCGCTCTTTTCTTCCGCCTCGCCATCAGCACCATTACCATTGCCAATACCTTCCTCGACAATTGTCGGGATCACAACATCGCTAATGTTTATAAACGTGTTGAAAGCTGTCTGGTTTGGCAGCATGAAGTCCTCCCCCGTCTTCACCACCGAGGAATCGGGCTTAAATGTGGCATTTGATTGAGAAGTGAGGAAATTTGACATCTTTGTAGATGGATGAAACAGAGGGTCCTCTGGTTCATAGGTTGCAGCAATGATGGTGAAGATCAAGACCATCAACACAAAGAAAGTGAAGCAGACATTGCCAATCAAAGCTAGCGCATTCTGCCCTAGATTCTCAGGCCTGAAACCTCCAGCCCTCGACAATCCATTGCGACCCATCATATTGTCCCGCCCCTAATTTGCCCTTTCCGTCCAATCCCCACAAAAAGCTCCCGGATTTCAGCTGAAACAGAGATACGCGAAGCAAACCCAGATGACCGTTTGCAGGCCAACCAATTAAAATCAGGGTTTCTTTTCAAGATCTGAGTTTTACGAGCTAGCTGCTAGCAAGTAATTAAGTAAACCCAAGATCTAAATTAAGAAGCTAATTCCTTTAATGGAAGCAGCGGGAGATAATGTCTGAGATCTAATTACCTTCTTCCTTCAAGGACTTGACGGAAATGGCTCATTGCTCATCCGGCTCAGCTCTCTAGTTTCTTCTTTCCTTTGCTTGCCTGTCTCGCTCTGTCTAGTAACAAGCCGAGAGTGAGAAAGTGAGATAGAGCGGCCGCGATCTGAATTGATGATGATGAAGCTTGAAGTCAACACGGCACATGTGTTGTTGGTAATGGAATATTGGAATGGAACGGAAGCACACCGACAATGGCAAAGATGCAAATAAAAGGATAAAAACAAAGAGTGATGATAACATTTTTTGCTTTTGGCTTCAAAGAAGTTCTAATGCTTAACACTATTGGATTACTTACATAAACGGCATTAAAATTAAATAAGATAATTCCTTTCATATAGATTTGATTTATTTAATTTCTACTTTTAATATTTGTATATATACTCTTTTGTACAAATTCGTTTATGGTACAACTAACTTCGGATTGTACCATAGTATAAAAGTACAAAAAAAAATTTATAGTACGAACGGAACTTGTAACTTTAACATTGCAGTACATCTTCAGGTTGTATATTAAAGTAAGAATATTTAAAGGATAGTAGAAAGGGTAAATGCCACATTTGGTCACTGAGATTACTAAATCGTAACATGTTTAGTCACTAGAAAAATTTAATATCAAATTTGGTCACTCGAATTACTGAAACAGGTCACATTTAGTAACTCTCTCGTTAGTTTTCGTCCAAATCCATTAATGGAGTTGGACGGAAACTAACAGTAGAGTGACTAAATGTGACATGTTTTAGTAATTCGAGTGACTAAATGTGACATATTTCAATAATTCGAGTGACCAGAGTTGGACGGAGGCTAACGGGAGAATGACTAAAGCTGACACGTTTCAGTAATTCAAGTGACCAAAATTGATATTAAATTTTTCTAGTGACTAAACATGACACGATTTAGTAATCTCAGTGACCAAATGTGGCATTTACCCATAGTAGAAATTACATTATTAAATTGTTGGATTATACATTCTTATTTTGTAGTAGTGCTACATAATCATAATGGATTTGTGCAATTGGAGAAAATGTGATTTAATAGTCATCTTTATAGAGAAGTAAAGAGGTAAAGTAGGGGTTTGGAAAGACAACTCACCTGATTTTTTTTAAATGTCTAATTCAAGACATTTCTTCTATACAACAATCTAGGTTACAATGTACAAGCACAACACACTATTGATGTCACATACCGAACACCAAAGCCAAAAAAAAAAGGGGGGAAAGCTTGCTGTCACTAGACACTCTTTGCTAGTTCAGTACTCTCTCGAGTTCTTTCCTGTCAATGATAAGACCTAAAGGGCACACGAGTTCTAAACTGAGACCAAACAAAACAATAGATTCAGAATAAAACTCTGGTCGCCCGGGGTTACGAATCAGCAAGGGCAAATATGCATCATGGAGACTTGATATTCGAACATGTACACGATGCAGCCTTACGCTGGACATGGTTCCTGCTTCTCTGAACCATGTCCTGCAGTAATTTCTTGGCTGTTTCAGCAGCAGCTTTGTCCGAACCATCAACTTGAGAAGCAATGTCATAAACCATCTTCTCTATAACGGACGATGCCAACCTCTTTTCCTCGGGAGTATCTCTGAGCAAGTCGAGAAGCGTCCGAGCTCTCTCTTGAGATTTAGTGGTGCCTTCAGCTGTAAGGCGTAGAAGGCCCGGGATTGCACCTTCGCTGAGAATGAGTCCCCTGTACTTATCTCGGTTACTCTGGCACAAGGAGAGCAAAGCACCAACAGCATGTTCCATGCTCACAAGTGATCCATCTTCAACTGTCTCTACTATGGTTAGAATCCCACCCTCTGAATCTGTTATAGCAGCTCGGCCTTCTTCTGATTTGGCAAGTATTTCCAGGAGTGCTGTGGCTTTCTCTGCAAATTTGGAGTACTTCTTACATTCTTTGAGGAGGCTTATGAGGGGGGTTACTGCTTTGTGGTCGAGTATCACGTGTGAAGAGTTATCTACCGTGCAAGTGGAGAGATTGTGAAGGGCTGTAACAGCGTCAACTTTGCCTTGCACAGAGCCCAAGGTCAGGATCTGGACTAGGAACTGTGGAGCTCCTGAAGCTGCGATGATTGACTTGTTAGGTTCAGCAGCTGAGAGTGTTAAGATTGCTGCCGTTGCTAGTTCTCTTAAGCTACTGGTCTGAAACTTGAGGATTTCTACAAGAGGGGGGATGGCACCAGCTGTCACTATGCTTACCTTGTTTCTGAAGCAACAAAAGAAACAAACACGTCAGTAGGAGCTTTATATTGGGGAAAAAACAACATTTGAATGCTTATTTGAGTTAGTAACCTTAATCCAGGATACTGGGGAAAAATAGCGCAATAAACACGTGGAAAACTTTTGGAGTCTGAAGCTATAAGCATGAGTGAATTGCAGAAACAACCAAAAACTTCAGAGATGTTTACAGCAATAGGCAATACTTTCAGATGAAATTTGCAAGTCCATTGCAAAATGAAAAACGTATCATTTCATATCTGAGAATATCAAACACAAACACTGCAAAGCTTCTGCTTCACCTCTAGCTCCAGTTGACAAGAATACGGAAATGCTGGTAACAAAATTGAAGCATGCCTACGGTGACCGAAAGACTAGCCCAAATGATGCAATTCACATACCAACTCTTGAAACTGAATGAAAAAGGAATGAACTTCAACCGACCATCTCTACCAACACTAAACACGCACGTCCTGCCTGAAAAAACAAGGACAGCTAATTGCTATGCCGGAACTCTTTCAGTACCATGAACAAATGGCTGTATAACTCTAGTCTCTTCCACAGTCAAACTACAACATAAGGCCACCAGTGATATCTTTCAACAACCCATCACAAGTTCAAACAAAATAACGGAAGATTCAGAGCATAATCCCCATTCGGTTACTGTTACCTACTAAAATAGCCTACCCTAGAAACAATAACAGAATCCATCACCTACTGAGTCCACAAAAGAATTAAACAGGGAAATCAAAAACTTCAATCTCAATTCGCCTCATCGAAATTCAGGAAATCAACCAGTTTCCCTTGTTCTTCATCATCGAGCTTTCAAGAATCAAGTAAACAGCCAGAGAAATCAATCCAAAGAGATTCTCAGAGAAGCTGCAGACCTCTCATTCCTGACGGCGAGGTTGAGGAGTGCAAGGAGAGAGGCCTCACGAGCGTCAAGATTAGGCGAGAGGAGCATGAGAATCAGCGGCTGGATGACTCCGGCGGAGGCGAATTTGGAGCGGGTTTTGGTGGAAGACGACTTTCTGACGAGCCTACGGATGTCTCGTGCGGCTTGTATCTTGGTAGAGAGATCTCCTCCGGTGATGAGTTTGTCGGCGAGCTCGAGGATTAGTCTATCTTTACGCAGATTCCAAGCTTCTCCCTCCCGGTCCTTCTTGGTCGCCGCCGAAGGAGGTTCCGCCGGAGTCTCGTCTTCCTCTTCCTGTCCCATTACTATCTTCTCTGTCCTTCTCTCAATCAGTCAATTTGACTCCGGCGAGGAAAAATGGAAAGAAAGGGGTTTCGTTGAGTTTTATTTCTTTTTCCGTTCGTCTTTTTGTATCAATTTTCAGCTCATTCCGTAAGAAAATAAAAAGAATGTATTTAAATGAAAAAAAAAATAAACAATGGGTAACTTGGTAACCAAACTTTTCCGTGTTTGACAAATTAGTCATTGAACTTTAATTTCTTAGTAAACTTGTAAAAATAGTAATTTCCTCCATTTTGATGAGATTGATCGTCGTAAATTGTAAAATTATCGTTTAAATTATACGAGTCAATGATTATCTGTGTGGTGGGTAATGTTATCCACCTAAAGTAGTTTTTCCATTGTTTTTTATTTATTAATTTTTGGTATTTTATTTATTTAAAAAATTGGCATAGTTATAATGTGGGGATGAGAACATTTATCACACCGTTAATTTGAACCTCGGAGCCAACAACAAAGAATAAAAAAGTTTCACAATTATTTTATAGGATTTAAGGCTGAAATTGGAAATCGCCACTATCTGAGTGTCCTTTTTATATTTAGCTTGTTGGATTATAAATAAATACATTTATTTACGGAGGGAATGGGGTATTGGAGGTAAGTTCTTGTTTTCTTGTGGGTTTTGGTAATTCTATTGTTTGTCTCTTTGCGATTGTTCATTTCCTGGGCCGCCCGCTTACACTAATAAATAAACTACTTATACCCGTCCGTTGGTCGGAATATTTTGAGATATTTATTTCGATGATATATCTTGATTAGGGGTGTCCATTCGGGTTCGGTTTTTCGGGTTTACCCGAAACCGATCCGATTATATATATTTTTGGTTTTTCGGGTTCGGGTTCGTTTCAGGTTTCGGGTTTTTCGGTTTCGGGTTTGGTTTTGCTTATCGATTTTTCGGGTTCCGACTAAAAACCTCCAATGAATAGAACTCAACCCGTATTCTTAAGCGTTCGGGTTTTCGGGTTTCGGTTTTGCTTTGACCGAACCCGATAAGGAATTTTCGGGTTTCGGTTAATCGGAACCCGCAAGTCCTTATCGGTTTTGGATTCAGTTTTAGTGATTTTTGGTTTCGGGTTTTTGGTTTTTTCGGGTTTCGGTTCTGGTAACCGAACCCGACCCGAACTGACACCCCTAATCTTGATAATAGTTAAATAGATTTTGTTTGGAACTAATAGTTGACTTTTTATAATTGAGATTGATATTATTAAAACATGATAAATAAAACTCAATTCTTAGTATTAAAGCAATCATATGAATTAATATATTGAGAGTTTAATTTGTATACCTTGAACCTTATTGATGAATGGTGTTCTCACTTATCATAATCAATTCCTTGATGAAAAGTTTTATACTTGATTGGGATTTTTTTTTTCTCAATTAATAGGTTTGTACATGATTCCCTTTGGAGTTTGGACAGATAACATGAAGAGTGAATACTTTGAAGTCAGGACATATAGACCGGAAATAAGAACAATGTAAACACCATATAGCAAGGAAGACAGGAGCTCTTGGGAGCTGTCAATTACTATTTTTACCCAACACATAAATTCCACTTTGAAACTCATATATCCCCTGAACGGTTTGACAGCTCATTCACAAATTATCCAAATTAACTACAATTACACACATGCATGTCTCCATCCCACTTTTAGTTCCCTCGCTGCTTGCATATATAGCACCAACAACACTACATCTACATGGACCATACTTTGAGCTTTTTAGCGAGCATTCCACTGACTACACTTTCACCCACCTAAGCTGCTTACCCTTACAGTTCTCATAGCGGCAGCAGAAACATTAGGTATCACTACAAGCACGCGGCACAATTCAATAGACAACACATGAATCTGAGTAACATAAGATTAAGAGTTTGCCAGTTTGGTGAACCATGTTTATCAGCATAAACATACATTCAACCATTCTAAGTAATATGTATCATCACAAACGAACAAAAGGCATTGTATTATGTTCCATAACAACTCAATAGAGGAATGTATTTAGTCAAAATTTCCCATTAACAAATGCAAACTGACAAAGAGGAACCTAGATTAAGGAGTCTAACAGTCGAGGGATTTCAATTATAAAACTATAGGTTAGATAGAATCATCAACCTCAAGGGAAAAGTCATTGTTGTATTAAGCCCCAAATCTTCTGAAACATACCAAAATGAGAGAAACAAATCACAAACTATGAAGCCCTGAAAATCTATCTGACATCCAATTACTTTATGGGGTTAAATTTGGTTTGTTTCATAAATATGTTATATTATTCATGGAATTGATTGATTCCTGTTGGTTGGTGTAATTAAGGAAACATAATCATCTCACAACAACCATCCCTTTTACTGGTTCTCCCTTCAGCTCTCCACTCTTTCACCTGTAAAGTAAAATTAGTGTTCACCTAGAATCATGGAGTTTTAATGTTTTTCATAAACACCCCATTTGAATTTTTTTGGCATGTTGCGTTCTCGCAAAAAAAAAAACTGAAATAGCCATATAAAGCTTGAAGTAGCAGCACAAAATCAAAATGAAAAATATAGTGACCAAAGTGATTATTAACACCAAACAAAAAACAAACAAAAGCAAGACATTACCAGAAACTCATTTTAATATATCATACCGCAACACCATAGCAAACTGGCACCTAAGACATTAGCAAATAAATTATGTAATCCACCGGATTAGAATGAAAACGCAAACCATAAACCCAAACGCAATTGATGAGACTCAAATTACAGCAAACAACCAAAAAGAATGGAACAATTGTAGCAGGATAAAAAGGCAGAGTGGAATGACCTCATCAAATAGAGGTCAAGGTCTCCGCATCAAATTGGTGAAGGCAGCTCTCAGCGAACAGAAGCCACCGGTAGCTGCTCTTTCGCCAGTTTCAAGAGATTGAGTGTTCAAGAATAACGAAAATACATAAGCAAACTCAGTCTACTGTTTCTACTCTATACTCATTATTCACACAGAGTTCGAAAACAATATATAGTGGAAGATGTACTTATTTAGCCTAATCTGTCTTCCAAACTGCTTTATTGTCTTTTTTACTGTAGAAGGTTCTTCAGCGGTTCACCTGCACCATGAAAATGATACGGGTGCACTTATCGACAGCCTGCAACCCCATAGAAAACCAGCATTATCCCTTGAACCTTTTGTCCTATCGATCCCTCTCCTTCCAACCTCCAAGGAACAACTTTGAGTCTTTGAGCTGCGTCATGAAAAGGATATTGTTGCTTGTACGTACGCGTTGACCTGTGAACTCACAATGGTAATCATAGACCAACTAACCAAGAGAGAAGCTTAGAGAGTGAGTCCATTATTTGGACAAACCTCATTTTAAAATGTGTATCTTTAATCCAACAACTCTAATCAATTAGTTCTCTTTTCTTTACCTGTGATTCTCGTCCATGACCAAAGAGCTCAAAGAAGGCAGCTCAAGCCTCAAAGGATACAAAACTACTAATGCTGCTCCAAAGAGAATAATAAAATGTAATGTGTGTTCATTTCTCTTACCACTCTTTGAAGAATAGGCTATAAGGATGAGCAAAACCAGAATAAGTAAAGGCTCTAAAATGGGTTATTTGTTCTCCAACTTTAATTGTCATATAGAACTCAAATCTGATATAGATCTTGAAATTGTCATTGAAAAGACAAACAAAGAGAATCACCATTTTCATCAGCTGTGATCTTCGATTTCCTCCTTTCATCAAGATGCAACACAGCAAGACTCTCTTAGCATATTTAAAAAAAAAACATGATGAATAAATACGGCATAAACGATTTTAGTTAGGTACTCATCTTCCCAATGATCAGGAAACCATAAGCCAAATTCCCATCTTGAGGCTGCTTTGAAACAGTCATAGTTCTGAGTTTTGACAGCTATCTCACCATGGGAGGCCTCATCTACAACAAAACTTACCAGAAATTAGTTGCCAACAATCACGATAAGCCCTGGTGATTTTCATGGAATCTAACACTCCTTCATCACAACACGAATCTCCATTGCTGGTCCAATGGGTTCATCACCCACCACTACTAACAGCTTCCTAAAAAGAGGCTAAATAATGTCATATGTGGAGGAAAATAGAGAGAACCCAAAGAAACTTAGCTAACAGCAGAGTAAACTGGCAAGAATAAAAGAATGGAAATCTACAAACTCAATCACAAAATAATTGGAGGGACCACTGCTTATAGGGCTTATGGTTCCTTTTCTATTTGTTTGATTTGGGTTCGTCGCCTCCACCATGAATCTCCAACGAAAATCTGTGTTGTTTGAACCTGAAGCACCCATTCTCCCCCTAAATGATATATGGGACAAAGAAGAGCAAGACCGTGAGATACTCTCTGTGAAGTAAACAAAAAAAAAATCGAGATGACATACTTAAGGAATTCCTCGGGCCTAATTCGGATCCACAACTTCATATTCTCTATTTCCTTGGAAAGATCCATCTTCTTCATCCACAATCAGCAAGCCTTACAGCCACAAAGAGAGTCCTTCCCCAGGAGAATACTTGGTCTGCATCACCTGATCGCTACTGTCAGATCCCCGTGGAATCCAATGAATCAGAATGAAAACTTAAATCAAAACCTAAGTAAACAGAGAGATAAACACATGTGTTTCTAACTTTCTATAGTTCAAAACTTTTCTCACCATCGAAGAGAGGAATTTGACAATCCGCCAATCACCATGGGACGAACACCTTTATGGTGTCTCTTCTCTCATCTTCTTCCTTATTACTTCCAATGCCACATTGCCCACTTCTTCTTCCCCTAAACCGCAGCGCCACCATTCTCAATCTTTCGCTTACCCCGATTCCACCGCCGTTGGACAAAAGTAACTTCAACTCCGTCCTTGTCTCCCTCCTCGACTCCCACTACACCGAGCTCGGTGACCTTGTCGAGAAAGCACTCCCCACGCTCTAGAGTAATCCGTCGGCAACCACACATAACCACCCCACACAATGGAGCCCTCGAGCGTCGCCTCGACTCCGAGTTCAAGCGCTTCCTCCTAAAGCCTCGCAACCTCCACTCCCTCCGCAGAACAACCTTCGTTGGCAGTGACGGAAGATGATTTCAGCCGCAAAAAAAGTAGTGGGAACCGACGGTTTCTTATCTCTCCTGTCACGCGGGGATTTCTAATTTAATCCGAGAAATTATTGTATACACCCGGCGTACCACGTCACTTCAATTACGTGGTACTCCAAGCCAATAAAGAACAGACATGTTGATAGACTTTTACCTTGTATTGCCGTTTAGCATTTTTGGCTTCATCTCTTTCTTTTTTCGACGCCTTAATAACTATTTAATTACTTAACCTGATTAATTACTCCAAGCCAATACAAAATTAGTCTATTTAATTATTTGCCAACAGAAAACACAGTTCCATTATGAGCATCCTCCTCCCACTCTGTTTCTCCCCAGAACTTCAACCATGGAACCAGGGAAAGAGAAACCCGTTCTCCGCAAGAACCCAGAGAGAACAATTGAATTAGCTCCTGTTTATCAGGATTTTGGGATTTTCATCTCTCTAACAATAAACTACAGATGCAATTTTAGCAAATATGCGCTGCTTCAATCCAGTGAATACTAAAATTAGTGGGAGCCGCCCCTTAATCATCTGAGAATAAAGCTCAATTGAAAGACTCGGTCTAATGGCGGGGGTTTCAGAGTTAAAAATGACTATTATGTAATAGTTAGTAAATATTTCGTATATTTAATTTACGTATATATGATTGTACATATTGTATATGTTTAAAACTTTCGTGTCAGTATTATAATCAAACCATTTTATTTTTTTTCCATTTATTTGATGACTTGCGTACTAAATACGTATAAAATTGATATAACACGTTTAATATCCGTATTTGATGAATTAAATTGCTAGCTTAACTATTATTTATATAATAATTTATTTCATAAATATTAATTATATATATTTTATAGCTATTGACGTACTTTAAGACATACTATTAGTTTCAAAACAAAATAAAATACTCATGTATATTTTATAGGTACCTTACCCGTAACAATTTTACTAACTTCTCTCTCTGACTTTAATTATTGGTTGGGTTTCTTTCTCTGAATTTGAGATGAACTCAAAGAAGGAAACGTAAAATAGGGAAAGACTAAAAAAAAAAGGTAAAACATAGGGACGGAGTAAATATATGTCAACATGTCTGTTTTATATTGGCTTGGAGTACCACGTAATTGGAGTGACGTGGTACGCCGGGTGCATACAATAATTTCTCATTTAATCCCGTGTAATCACCCTGCCACGTCAGACTCCTAAAATCACTCTATGCGTAGGAAAATTTGAATGGGGGTTGCAGTTTTACTTTTTAGCTATAAATTATACTGTTGATAAAGGGTTAATTGCATGGTTGATCACTGAGATTATAAAAAACGGTCAAGTTTGGTCACTCGATGTATTTGAATCCATTGATGGTACTTTATTTTACAAAAATCGTTCACGTTCGGTCACTCTCCGTTAGCTACCGTCCATCTCCGTTAAAGGAGTCCGTTAAGTGATGACGTGACGGACGGAATTGTCAAATCAGCACTATTTAACTCAAAAATAATCTGACCTGACCCACCACATTATTGAAATCCGCCAGCTCATCTAAACCTACCCAACCCTCTAACCAAACCAGACCCGACCAAGACAAACTATGGCGTCGCTCAAGCACTGCAATGCCGCCACAGCTCTACTCCTGGCGATCGTCTTAGCCCTGGCGGTGGTTGGGACCCAGGTGACGGTGGCTGAGGCGCAGGCATGTCCAGTCCAGCTCAGCAACCTCAACGTTTGCGCGCTGTTCGTCATGCCCGGCGCCGCCACTCCCAGCTCTGAGTGCTGCTCGGCGCTCCAGTCCGTCCAGCAATACTCCCTCTGCATCACCGTCCAGATCACTGCTCGCCTTCCTTCCCTTTGCAACCTCTCTCCCGTTGGCTGCTCCACTGTCTAATTAAGTGGTACTAGCTACATCGTCAAACCCCCACCTAATTAATTGGAGGACCACTCCATGGTTCATTGATTTTTCCTACTGAAACGTGGTTTTGGCTTGAATACTGATTCGTTAGCTTTGGTTTGCATATGTGTGGGAGAAGATGGCACGAACCCGGTCGGTGCACGTCCACAGAATAATGCCCCCCATGATTACAACTTCTTCTTGTTGTTTTTCGTCTCTATTTTTTATTTTCTTAAAGAACAATCGGCTTGTATCCCGATCTGCAACCAAGCACAAGGATTTGGTTTCCGAGAAATAAAAAAAGAAGCGGAATGGCAGAATAGTTCACAAACTAGTGGATAATTTCCAAGCCCCAGAGAGACATGGCCCTGCTCGAGAATCAGATCCCCTTTTTCGTCCTCGAATAGCTTTTCTATCCACAGTCCGCAGAAGCTTCAGCGGCTCACACTCTGTTACACTCCCTGATATCCTTGTAGGGTTCTTCAAATCGGCGATAAGTTGGCCGCTGTCGACAACTCCGGCGCAGTCTACTGCGGCGACGACGATGAATCTCCACGAGAGGGAAACGATTAGAATGTCGATTTAGGGATTTAATCCTGGTGGGTAGTTGGGTGGGTAGTTGGGTTGGTGGGTCAGGTCGGGTCTGGTCTAGTTTGGTTAGAGGGTTGGGTAGGTTTAGATGAGTTGGTGGTTCGGATCAGATTATTTTCGGGTTAAATAGTGCTGATTAGACAATTCTGTCCGCCACATCATCACTTAACGGACTCCTTTAACGGAGATGGATGGCAGCTAACGGAGAGTGACCGAACGTGAACGGTTTTTGTAAAGTGAAGTACCATCAATGGATTTAAATATTTTGAGTGACCAAACTTGAACGTTTTTTGTAATCTCAGTGACCAACCATGTAATTAACCCAATAAATAAATATGATAATGATGAGTATTATTTAGGATGGTAAACGGTTAATCCGTTATCGATTTGTGTTGACAACCAAAATAATAATAATTGTTAGCGGTTAACTGATAATGATAATTTCTAGTGGTTCGATTTTGGTAAGCTATGTTTATTTAGTGGTTAATCATTAACTAACTAACCGGTTAGAGGTTAACCGATAACCGCCTAAAAATATAACCTCGTAAATTTAGGTTTTGGCTAAGGAGAAAAGTACTAAAATTCAAAACCAACCAAGTATCAATTCCAAACATCCCAATTTACACATATCGCAAGCAACCATCCTCCCAAATATGTTTTAAGAGTCGGAACTCAAAATTTCAAAATAACAAAGAAAAATGTCACATGTTGATGTTGTTATTAGTTAGCGGTTAACCGACAAACTAACCGCTAACCGAACCGATAACATGTCGTTAACCGATAAGCCTTATAGATTTGCATTTTCTTAGTGGTCTGTCTTTTATGGAGGATTTGGAAATCTCGGAACACTATGATCTTTGAATATCATCAACCAGGTTCTCACTAAGGGTGGAAATCAGTACGGTATCGGTATTCCAGTACCAAATACCGAAATCCCGAATACCGAATTACACCCTAAACTCAATCCCAATCTCAATCCCTAAATAATTTCGGTATCCCAATATCTAAATATTTCGCTATCCCAATCGGTACTTCGGTATCCCAATCGGTATTATCGAATACGAAATTAATTACCTTTACAATTAAAAATTAGATATATAATTTTGATTTTATTGTTAAATTTAGGGCAAAGAGACTAAGCTAAGAGTCTTGAGTCTGCCTAGAGCTAGGATATGGATAAGGAGAATGGAGGAGATGTGACATCTCAAGTTCTTGTAATTTAGTAATCTTTAATTTGACGAATCGGAGGCTATGAGACAACTAATAGTAGTGTTTGCTTTTTGGTATTATGAAAATAACAAGAAATATAAGGTGAGAAACGAGAGTGACTTATATTGAAAAGTCAAATTTGAGTTGAATGGGGACTTCTAAGTTGAGAAATAGTGATGGAATGATCTATGTATAATTAAATGATAGTCTTGGTGGTTGAGGATTGTGTAGTAGTTAATGAGAGAGTCTAGTTGAGAAGATAAAATACACACTGGCTTATATTTCGGTATTGATCGGTATTTTGGTATATAACGATCCCAATCCCGTAATCCCTAATACCGAATAACAATTCAATTTCAATCCCAATCCCAGTGTATTCGGTAAACCAAATATAGACAAATTCGGTACGGTATTCGGTATATCCCAAATACCAGTACCAAACTTCCAGCCCTAGTTCTCACTGCTCAGTTTGAATTTCAAGTCCGAGAATTCTCTTCTTTGCTCCTCCTTCTCCTCTTCGATCCCCCCCCCCCAGTTAGTTTGGTGCTCTCTCTTCCCCAGGTGTTGTTAAGATTAACTTCGTCGCCGCTTGACAGGATGTTACCTCTTATGGAATTGTTGTTAGAGACTCTAGCGGGTACACTCTGTCGGCAGTTATCCTCTATTACGGCATCTCCGACCTGCAACTTGCATAAATTCTAGCATCATGTGTACCTTTTCATTGGCGATCTCTCGACAGATTGCTTGAGTGGTAATTGAAGGCGATTCAGAGGTTGTCATTCGTCGACTCCAAAAGGATTTCTCCTCCTATGCCCTAGGTGGGCCCGTGTTGCGTTATTGTCTTCACCTCATCTTAGCCTTGCCTGATGGTGTAGAATTTCGGACAGTTCCTAGAGTTGTCGATTGCACCTAGAGTGACGCGTAAAGGCCTTTACTTATCTGTGTTAGAATTCGAGCCCTTTGATTTTGGCACCTTATTATTGTTGTAATAGGGGTGGTTGGGTTTTTGCAAGGGGTGGGGTGTTCTCCTCGGATTATTGTTTCTTTCATGATATTTCTTGAGAGAGAAAAGTACGGTGCTAACACCATTACTGCTTCATTGATTATAGTAGTAATAGACTACTAATTCTATGGCAAGAATAGAGTAATAATTCTTAATAAAAACGGGTTGGAGCCACTGAGGTTAGTGATGGAATTGTGAAGCAAATGACAAACATGAGAAGTATCAAATCTATAAACTACCATAAAAAGATAAGACGAAATAAATACATAAGGTACAAGACTTCAAAAGGACCGTTGTACGAAATTCAAATCCATAAATTGTTATACGAAATAAAGAAGTTCTTAGCCGTCAAATGAGCTATATTCTATTGTTAAGCCTGCCAATAAGTCGAATACTAGACCCCAGATACTTTACAATCAAATGACAAAGCTCTATTAGGATCACACCCTTTTAAAGTCGTGAACACATGCTAAATTTACCTTATCAATAACTACTTTAGCGTCTTCCTCCAACCTCATTTCTGCAAAGCCAAGCTGGAGACTTGCTCCCGAAATGGTGAGCCGTTTAGCAAAGCCTAGCATACCAACTTCACACCATCCTGAAAATCAATGTTCTTTCAAGTTCCAATGGGTACTGCTACGCGAAAGACTCTAGATCGTTCTAGAAGGATGTAGGTACATGCATGCATCTTGCGATTCATGCACCAATGTACATACATCCCCCTTTCCTATCTTTTATTTATCCACCTATTTGTTACATTCATGTATGGGGGCAAGTTCATGTATGGGGGGGGGGGGGGGACTTCTAGGTTCGTTCATTTATGACGGCCATGTACATTGTACTTAGTGGAGAGGATGCCTATATAAGCAGCCCTCTCCATCATTTTTCATTCATCCAGAAATTGAGAGTTTCCATCTCTAGAGATTTTCTCCATACTTGTGAGTTTGAGTGAATACGAGCAAGGCTGACTTAGTGCTCTAACGAGACTTGAGTGCTAAGTGCCGCACGGCCAAGAGTTGGTCTGTGACAAGTGGTATCAGAGCCAAGGTTGTAGCTCAGCAAGTGAGAAAGAACCTCGAAGAGATGGCTGGATCCGGAAGCGAAGTTCTCGACAATGAGCAACAACGCGGTCGTGAGGAGAAGAAGGATCCAAACACCAAGAAGAATTGTGATAGATCAACTCGAGAGCCTTTGGTGGCAATCGAGGAGAGGCTCAAAAGAGCGGAGACGAAGAGTGCCAAGCATACAACCTTGTTCGAGGACATGGAGTCGAAATTCGATCAAGTCAGCGGAGAGGTGCAGACTTTGAAGGACGACATGCAAGGCATGGGCACTCGAATGTCAGGCTTGGAGGTGGGGTTAGAAGCTTTCTAAACGAGTTTTTGACCATCATCACCAACGCCATCGACTCCTTGAGGGAGACCGTTCGAGGCCAGGTGGACGAAGTGAGGGAAGAATTTGACGAGCTTAGAGGAGAGCTCAATCTCGTCAAAAGAGTCGTGGCTAACGGACCTGGCGCAACTCAATCTACGCCACGAGTAGATGTTCCAAGGCCAAAGAACTTCGGTGGGTCGAGGAACGCGAGGGAATTAGAGAATTTCCTCTGGAGCCTTGAACAGTATTTTAAGGCCTCGAGCATCAATGACAATGAAGTCATGGTGCGCACCGCCTCCCTTTACTTGGTCGACACGGCCATGGTGTGGTGGAGAAGGAGGCAAGGTGATATAGAGAGAGGCACATGTGTGATGGACACATGAGAGGATTTCCGTCGGGAAATCAAGAGGCAGTTCTACCCAGAGAATGTGGAAATGGAGGCTCGTGCAAAGTTTCGACGACTCACCCACACCGGCGGAATTCGTGAGTATGTCAAGGAGTTCTCGGAATTGCTACTCGAGATCCTCGATCTACCGGACAAGGAGGCTTTATTTGGCTTCCTTTTCGGATTGCAGCCTTGGGCAAAGTTGGAGCTCGAGAGGCGTGGAGTGCAAGATCTTGCTACTGCTTTGGCAACGGCAGAGGCTCTCACGGAGTACAAGAAGAATGAGAGGTTGAACGAGTCGAAGAATCGAAGAGCAAAGGAGGAGGAGATCATCGGAAGCACTCCAAAGAAGGAAGAGGCTCGTACCAACATGGAGGCTCGAGCAAGGGAGCAAGATCTGGTAACTTTGACAAACTCATGTCTTGTTTCCTTTGCAACGGTCCACATAAGGTGCGAGATTGCCCAAAGAAGAGCAAGCTAGCAGCCTTGGAGAAACAAGAAGGGGAGACCAAGGAGAATGCTAGGGAAGACGAAGGGAAGATAGGCTCCATGCGGAGGCTAAGCGCGGCGAAGTCCGGCGCCAACGAAGTTAGCAAGGGGAGATTCTTTGTGATCACCCAATTCGAGGGAGGCGAGTCAAAAGCATTGGTTGACACCGGTGCGATCGACAACTTCCTTCGAGTGGAGGAGGCGGAGCGCTTGGGGATCGCTTACGAGAAGAGGCAAGGATCGCTCAAGACCGTCAACTCCGAGGCAATACCCATCCATGGTGTTGCCAAGAACGTACCTTTGAAGATCGAAGGTTGGGAAGGTTGCTGCCGACTTTAGCGTCATCACTATGGAAGACCATCCGGTCATTCTTGGCGTCAAATTCATGGAGAAAGAGGGTGAGGTAATGGCAATGAAGTCCAACACTCTCTGCCTTGACAAGGGAGATAAATTTTGCATGGTGAAGATGTTGCACGAAGAAGGGCCGAAGAGAGCTTTATCGGCCATGCAATTGGTGAAGGGAATGAAGAGGATGGAACCCACGTTCCTTGTCACTTTGCGAGCGAAGGAAGAAGGAGGCTCGGTGGCGCCAACACCTCTCATCGAGGATCGAGGGCGTGTTGGAGGAGTTCGTGGATGTGATGCCAAAGAAACTACCAAAGAAGCTCCCGCCAATAAGAGAAGTCGATCACAAGATCGAGCTTGAGTAAGGGGCGACGCCACCAGCGAGAGCACCTTATCGCATGGCCCCTCCAGAGTTGGAGGAATTGAGGAAGCAACTCAAGGAATTGATGGATGGTGGCTTCATCCAATCGTCGAAATCCCCCTATGGAGCACCCGTTTTGTTCCAGAAGAAGAAAGATGGTTCGTTGCGGATGTGCATC